GGGCCTGGGGCTCAGGGGTCGAGGGCGGCGGGAGACTTGTAGCGAGGGAGGCCGTGTGGTCGTGCACGCGAGTTAGGAGAACGCTCTCGGTCAGGAGGACGACGATGTGGCCGGACGGGGTCGGGGTCACAGGCGAGGGCGACCCGCTGAGAGGCTGCTGGGGTCCTGTGGGCGAGAGGAGGTGAGGGCTCGAGCAAAGCCCCGTGTGTAGGCGCGAGGACGGAAGGAGGGACGCCGCAGTGGCCGGCTGGACACGCGCGCGGGTGGTGACACTGTCGACGACGACGGGAATGCACCAGCAGGAGCAAATTTGTGGGGCAGGCGACACAGCAGGGTGGGAAAGTGAGGGGCGTATACGGGTAGTTGGTTGAAGATAGAGCTCTGGGGCTCAGGAGGGAGGCTTCTGGACGCGCCGTGGTCGTGGATGGGTTTTTGCCATTCATTCGGTAAACCCACACCCAGAGGTCTGTGTGTGCAGCAGAGTGCGCAGGGCAGTGTATGGCTGGAGCTTAGCTGGCGGTGAGCGAGACACGTGCGGTCTTGGTATTCCTGGAGCTGACGCCCCAGCAGGTGTCTTGTCACAGCTGGGATGAGTGCTAGGGAGAGGCACGGGCTCCGGGACCTGTGTGATGGGGTGGGCTAGTGGTGTCACATGCCGAGGTCAGGAAGGCTTAGGCAGGTGTGAGCCAGAGACCGAGTGAGGTGGAAATGGCAGAGAGCTGTGTGCTCCAGGCAGAAGGAACGGAATGTGCAAGGACCCTTAGGTGGTAGGAGACGGCACGTTCCAGAAGTTGGAAGATTGGCCTGGCTAAGCACAGGAACTTAACTTTGTAAAAACCTGTACATGTTTATTATGCAGAAGAGGACCATTCAGCTACTGGAGAGGTTGAAAGTCCAGAGCGTGAATGGAGACATTTTTATTTAACTCTCCTTCCCCGAGCCGGCTGTATACCAAAACAGAGTCAAAGTGATCAACAAGTTTATGAAGTTTATTTAATCAAAGTGCTTGGCCTGTCAGCCCCTCTTAAGTTAGCTATTGATTATTGTTTTAATCACTGATATTTATGGGGAAACCTGTAAGAGGAAACATCAAATTGTTCGGCTTTATTGATGGTCTCCTTGCTTTTCATAAAGGTCAGAGACTTGTTAATGGGTTAAGCCTTGATGCCAGGGCCTGGTACCGCATAAGGTTCAAGGTTGGTAGGCGTTTGAATACATAGGAGAAGGGTCGACGTGTTTCCCTATCTCTGCTTCTGCCCACTTTGTAATGAACATTGATGATTCAAAACCACTTTGAATGCCCTAGATCCACACACTCTTGTGTCTGTTCTTCTAACGTTTTAAAAAAGATTTCCTTTATGCTGTTGGTATAACTGCATTGTCATGTATCAGGGGAGGCTTCAAGAGGTGATCGTCAGGAGAGGTAGCTCAAGATCAGACACCATCACATCTTCCAGATGCGGAGCCATCCGTCATGCAGTGCTAGTCAAGTAATTCAGTCACCTGAGAGTGCATTGCTCTGCTGACTCAGTCTTGGAGGTTCTGAGGGTGCTATGTTGAAAAATTTTTTTAGGTGAAATTCACGTAGCATAAAATTAACTATCTTAAAGTGTACAATTCAGTGATGTTTAGTATATTCACAATGTTGTGCAACCACCACCTCTATTTCCAAAATATTTTCTTCACCCCAAAAGAGAGCACTGTAGCTGTTAGCAATCACTCTCAATTCCACCCTCCCTCCAGCCCCTGGCAACCATTCATCTGCTTTCTGTCTGTATGGTTTGCCAGTTTGGGGTATTTCATATAAATGGAATCACACACTATGTGGCCTCTTGTGACTGGCTTCTTTCACTCAGCGTCATGTTTTTGAGGTTCATCTGCATCACAGCTTGTATCCGTGCTGGGTTCCTTTTTATGGTGGAATAATATTCCGGTGTATGAATGTATCAAATTTAGGTTTATATCCATGACAGAATTTTAAAATCTAGCAGTGAGGGCTGTTTCCAAAGTAAAGATACTGTAGCGGTTCCTGATGGCAGGCCATTTGAAGGTTGCTCATCTATCTTTATCTTGCAGTTTTGTGGGGTGACTCTTGGCTTTGCCCAACCTCCGTTGGAGAGATGCTCAACTTCGTAAAGAGATGCAAGCTTTATCTTTTGTCAGACACTGTCAAAGCATATGAGATCTGCCGTAATTTAGCTAAACTTCATTTCACCAGAGAATATAACCTTGAATTTTTTGTCTAGTTCTTTTCAAAGATTCAATGTCAGGAAATAATATGTGGGGTATACATTCCATATATTCCTCTAGAATCTGGATTAGGGCCAGCCACCTGTGTTTGTAGAGAACGTCTTTTGGGAGCACAGCTGCACCTGCTCCTCCATGTGCTGCTCAGCCTGCTTTCACCACTTGGAGGCAGAGAATGGAGGAACTGCAGCGGACCTTATGGCTGACGAGCCCGAGATGTACTGTCTGGGACTTGAGGAGAGCGAGTTTGCCAGCTTCTGATCTCCATTTTCAATTCTTCACCCGAGTTCCACCTTCCCCCACCCTCTGGGAACCCCACAGATGGGCGTGAACTGTCTCTGAAACCCCTGAAATTTTATGCAAAATCTCATGCACATGTGCGTACCATGTATGTTTTCCTTGAAGGAGGACCTGTGATTCTTCAGAGTCCAAAAGGGATCCAAGACCCAGTACTGCTCCGCAGTCGTTGATCTGAGTAGCCAAAATGTTAATTCCCTGGGTTCACCTTGATCAGCAGTTCTCAAACTTTTTAGTCTTAGGACCCCTATATATTTTTAAGAATGATTGGGATCCCAAAGAGCCTTCGTTTATGTGGGTAATAGTCATCAATATTTACCCTATTAGAAATTAAGATCAGAAGTTTAAAAATATTTACATATTTTTAAATTAGCAATAATAAAACCATTACATATTTAGATATTCTTGCACATATCTTTAACAACTGGCTTCATAAAATATAGGCTCTCCAGTCTTCTGCTCAGTCCATTGTAATATCGCAAGTCATGCCGCCTGGAGGCCTTTGTATGCAACCCTGAGCAGATGAGCATGAGAAAGGCGGGAAATGGCTTAGAATTCTCAGGAAGGCAGTTGTGTCACAGTGGAACCCTGAAAAGGTCGCAGGTCCAGGCTCCCCAGAGCACACTTGGGAGAGCTGTGTATTGGGACCACGCTGTCTTATTCTGCTGCTGAATTGTAGCCTGGTATTTTGTTGTCCACATGTGTTTGGGTTCTTGCTCTGCTGTTTGTTGTTGGCACTTGGGTGAGGAATCTGTCTGCACAAAGGGGACATTGCACATTGTCCCTTCCTCCAGGTTGCAGGCCTGGAGTAGCTGTACCACTTCTGAGCCACTGGTAGGTTTTTAAGTCTTATTGAAACAGATTTTCATAACTGATCATATTTTCTTTGTTGTGCACTTTCAGCTCTCGTACGCGGTACACTTGTCTTCATACCAGCCATACCCTTGGCTTTCTTATTTTCCTTTTTCTCTCCTCTCAGTGTCCTCATCTATATCTTGTCCATTTGTATATTTCTTTCAAGTAAAAAATTTCCCCTTATACTATTGTGTAAAGCATTTGTGTGAAACATTAGCATTTAGTAAACTTAGGAGTCTCTTGACTTACAGAAATTAGTGGGTTGTTCTTTTTTGGTGTTGCTGTCATCAAGTCACCTTAGCTAAGTGGAAACTTAACCATCCTGTATCTGCAAGTATTAAGATGTTATTTTGTTTCATTATATACTATATATAGTGCAGTTACTTGGCAGTTTTATTATTTATTACCTACCCTCAGCCTCTGCCCTATTTTTAATTTTATTTCTGTCTAGTATACACAGACATTCTTGTTATTAGTATCATTTACATTTAGTCATAACAGGCTTTTTTGTGCCTGCTTGTAGAACTTTTGTAAATTACTTTCAACACTGGTCTTAGTTACGTGTGTATGTGCTTATCAATGTGGTTCTGCTGATTTTCAGCTGAGAATAACGTTTCTCAACTGCACAGTCTCCTCCTATTCGTTAGAGCCTGAACTTAATTGAAGGCAAAGAGGACCCTGCCTTGTTTCATTAGAGGACTAGATGTGTGTTACAAAGAGAGACTATAATGAGATTTTTTTAGGAAAAAACTGTTAGACTTTATGCAAAGTGAACTGGGTAGAGATCAAAGTATGTTTTGTGTAAACTATTGACTCATAATTTTTCCAGGATTGCACTTTGCGTATTTGTTACTATATAGGTGCTGTTGTTTCAATTTTCAGAAGACTGTGCAGTCTTTTGAATTGATGAAGAACAAGGCTTTGTCTTCCTGTAATTCTGAAATGAAGTTGAGTCACCCAACAAGAAAGCTCAGTTCAGCTAAAATGTAGGCATTAGGAATAGAGGCTGAAACAGACCCTGGAGTGGCTTCATTGGCTTTCCTGCTTCTTTTGCATCCCAAAGCATAAGCTTAAGTCATCCCAGAAGGACAAGGTCCGCCAGTTTATGGCATGTACTCAGGCTGGGGAAAGAACTGCTATCTACTGCTTAATGCAGAATGACTGGAAACTAGACGAGGCCACGGACAGCTTCTTCCAAAACCCAGACTCATTCCACAGGGAATCCATGTGGAACACGGTGGACAAGAAGAAGCTGGAGCAGCTGTATGGCAGGTACAAAGGTAAGGGGTGACGTGACAACAAAGACAGACCAACACACTATCTCTAGCATGCAGAGCAGATGGCGTGTTTCTAAAATTTCTGACGCCATGTACAAAAGTCTCCCAGTTGCTGTTTTTCTCTTCCTCATGTTCAGCAGAATCCACTTCCTTTATTTTAAATGAGAGTGTGAGTCTGTACAGATTGGTGGGGATGAGAAGAGGGTCAAAAGATTGATCAGGAACAAGCCCTCACCTCACCCACTTGTTCTGTGCAGTGGGATTGATGTGCTGACAACCAGTCAGAGGGAAGAGTCACTGCTTGGAGGCTGTCTCGGCAGCAGTCACACCACTTAATACAGTATTTTTCCAAGCACTAGTTTAGGCTGAAATGTTTGTGGTGAGAAGGTTGTTAACAGACGACACCAAATCATGAAACTACTTCTGAAGTAAGGGTAAACCATCAGCCTTCTCCTCACCCTGCGTAGTGGGGGTTTAGCACTGAAACCACTTGGTTGTTGGATAATCCTTGGGGAAAGCTCTGGGCAAAGACACCTTTATGTTGGAGATTGAGACAATTCTTATTTTTATTGAGGTCAGTACTTAGAATGGAGCTTTCCATCTCAAAATGCAGTCATGCTGTAAAAATAAGTCTGCCTTGATGAGTGTGTACAGGTCCAAATCCCACAGCAGGTTTAAGTTTTCAATCAAGTGAAGTCAGGGCTGTGTAGGGGAAAGCAGCAGCAACCTAAGAGTTGACTGACTTTGCTGCTTCTTTCTAACAGTTTTTGAGGTTAAGTTTTCTAAAATTTTGAAAAACAAAAACCCATTCCTCATTTAAGTATTAACCCAAATAGAATAATTTCATTGGCTTTAAATTCCTGTTTATTTATGATTTTTATTTTTTATTTTTGAAAACAATTATGTGGACTTCAGTCTTTCTGTTTACATCTGAAAAATGGATTGAATATTGCATTTTAAAAAAAATCTTGGGCCGGCCCGGTGGCGCACTGCTACAGTGCGCTACTTGGAAGCGCGGCGGCACTCCCGCCGAGGGTTTGGATCCCACATACAGACCGTTTCCCGCTCACTGGCTGAGCGAGGTGCGGACGCAGCACCGAGGGTTGCGATCCCGTTGCCGGTCCCGGTCCGGTATGGGCGCGACACTGAGGGTTGCGGTTCGTTGCCGGACACGAAAAAAGACAAAAAGGAAAAAAATAAAAAATAAAAAAAATCTTGGTTCAGAAACATACTCTGTGATGAAAAAAAGAACTGAGAAAAGAACTGAAATCCAGATTTGTACTTATTGTCATTCTGAAAAAGTGAAAATTGTTTTTAATTAAGCTTTAGTGTACTTTAAAATGTTTGGGATAATTTTGTAAGTCATATGCTATGTAGTTTTTTTTAGTTGTTCAAGTATGTACACCTGCCTTTGAAAAAATACTTTTATATTTGTGACAATTGTAAGTCTTTGTGCTTTAGTGGAAGCTTCATTTCTTCATTATTTAATTTTATTCATGAAATTCTAGTCATTTAAACTAGATACATGGTAATCATTTGGGGCTCTAAAAATAAATATATAGTTCAAAGACAAATATAACATTGATTATTACATTAACATATACAAATGAAAAAGTACTTCCAAAATTACTCAAAATTTTCAACATTATTGTATATAAAATTTACCAAGATGGTTTATTAGGCAAAAGCTTTGTGGAATAATTTTTGTATTATCTCCATGATGTACTTGTATGATGTTAGCAGACAACTGAATAAGAGAATAAGTGGGTATTTTTTACAGAACCTTCGTCCCATAAGCCACAGCTGAGGTTGTTTTCTCCCTAATTTAAGAGGACAGAGTTAGAAGATGCTTGTGATTTTATTCATTTAACTTATGTTGTCAGTTTTTCTTTGATAACATCATATATGAGCATGCTTCAAAAAGTTCTTGGAAAGATTTGTGTTATCTTTTAATTATGTTTTTCCACGAACTTTTTGAAATACCCTTGTATATAAATAATGTGGTACATAGAACTTAAATGACCAAAGTCAAATTTTGTATGAAGGGGAAGAAAAGTTGATCACACCTAATCTTTACTCGAGCAAAGGAGCTACAGATTTTCTATTTGCACCTTCTAAACCAACAGAATTCACACATATTTTATGACAATATATTATGATACACATAACCTGTCTGAAATTCTTAGACATAGTTTGGTGAGGTCTTGCTGGGATGCTTTTAATATATTTTACTATTTAATTTTTTTCTTTTTTTTTTTTCCCTTTTTTTCTTTTTTTTTTCGTGTCCGGCAATGGACCGCAACCCTCAGTGTCGCGCCCGTACCGGACTGGGACCGGCAACGGAATCGCAACCCTCGGTGTTGCCCCCGCACCTCGCTCAGCCAGTGAGCGGGAACCGGTCTGTATGTGGGATCCGAACCCTCGGCGGGAGCGCCACCGCGCTCTCAAGCGGCGCACTGTAGCAGTGCGCCACCAGGCCGGCCCCTATTTAATTTTTCTGATAGAAAATGCTAAGTTCCTTGATTTTATTTCTAAACTAGAAAGAGTGGGGAGCCTGAATTTCTAAGCTGTTAAATATGTATGCATAAGCTAAATAATTTTGAAAAATAGTTATTGTCCAGTAACATTAAAACTAGCAAGTGAAATCACGTAAAAAGAAAAACATCAATTATTCTTTCACTTTGGCAGAGTTGCGATGAAAACTCAAAGTATTGTAAATATTTTATCAATACAGCATTTTTTGGTAGCAGTTTGCCTTTGGACAAACTAAAATTCTATAAACTTGAATTCTTATTTTATATTAAATTAAACTTTTTCTTAATGATGAAGTTGTCTCAAGGAAGTTTCCATGATTTTTTTTCCCTAAACCCTGAAACCTAGATTTTAAAAATAGGAGTATTTTATGGATCAATTATTGTTTCTTGCTCACTGTTTCTTTCATATGTAGTAGAAAATTATAGTCCGTTGATTGATGAAACACTTGGTAGAACTACCTAGTAGAGTGGTGTGATTCTAACTACCTGTTTTAGGATTAATTTTCAAAATAGTATAACTTCTTTTCTCCTAATTCTAACTGCAGACCCACAAGATGAAAACAAAATTGGAATTGATGGGATCCAACAGTTTTGTGATGATTTAAACCTAGATCCTGCTAGTATCAGCGTTTTGGTCATAGCATGGAAGTTCAGGGCAGCAACTCAGTGTGAATTTAGCAAAAAGGAATTTGTAGATGGCATGACAGAGCTTGGGTAAGTAAATTGTTCTCAGTTTAAATTTTTTCAGAAAGGAAGATACTTTCAACATTATTTTTCAGCAGCCTGTAAATATCAATTTTATATCTATTTATTTTCTTTGTGTATCTTACAAATTTTGTATGCATCTACACTGTTATGCCTTTGGTTTCCTTTTAAATTCCAGTTTAAAGTCTTATATGCTGTTTTATTCGCATTAATCCCTTTTGTAATTCATTTTCTTTTTAATTTTTTTCTTCCAATTTTGAATTGACAGTGAATACCAGGGTTTTCTTCAGCCGCTCAACTTATTTCATAATACTGTGTACTAAGTGTATAATATGTTATGTTGCTATATTAGACATTAATAAAATGTCATTTTGTTCCTGCCTGTAGCACTTCTCCTCTAACTACAGGGTTGGGATAAAAACTTAGGATGTTTGTCACTTATCGAATAAGTTGTAGAGTAGATGAAAGCACCTAACATAACTGTTCACCATTAAGCTTAGTGAACCATTTTATGAGGAAGTGTAAAAGCCAGCCTGTTTGACTTGCTGATATTTCTTTTGTTGTTGTTGTTGTTTTTTAATTAACCTTTATTTTTTAAAAGTTAATATGTGCATTATTCTTGCTCATATTTCTGATTTTGTGATATTTCAGTGTTGACAACTGAAAATAGCTTATTTTCAGAATAATTTTAAAGCCTTACAGAAAACATATTCTTAAACATGTGCTTACAGCTACCAAGGGAAAAGAAAAAACAGAATCCTTGTTCTTTCCACTAAACTGATTAATCTGTTGTATTTATCAGCCTTGTGTGTTTTAGATGATAAATTCTACAACACTTTTTAAAATTTCTAATGGAGATACTCCTCTGTTTATGATGGGGTTACATCCCAGTCAACCCATTGTAGGTTGAAAATGCATTTAATACCTTAATAAGCTCATTGTAAAGTCGAAAAATCATACAAGGGATCTTCAAAAAGTTCATGGAAACATCTGTATTATCTTTTAATTCTATTTTACCACAAACTTTTTGAAGTACTCTCATGAGTCGAGCCATTGGAAGTCAGGAACTGTCTGTAGCGTGTTACCACCTTCCTGGTGGTTGTATAAAACCAGACAGACAAAAGACAGCATTATGGCCATGGTGGAACAGCATATTTCCTCACACCCTTTGCACTTAGGAAAGCCTAGATGAATTACCAGTAGTTTTAGAATGGAAAACACCTGTTAAGGAAGCATTCTATTCATATAGTGTTATACATTATCCTATCTATTAGAATCTCTCTAAAATGGGAACTTTTGGAAATGAGTGCGTCTTATGGAAGCACTTATTAACATCCTAGTGATTGTCTAAAAATATGTTGTGCAAGAACATTTTTAAAATTTCTGTTAACTCTATTGTTATAACTTAACATATTTTAAAGATTTTAGGTGTGAATCTTCCCAAAATATATTAATTTTATTCCCTCTTATCTAGAGTATGCAGAATGTGATCTAAGTTTACAAATTTATGATGGAAAATTAAATAATACTGCTGCCCACACCTCACAGGGCAGTTAAAGGTGAAAGCATTTTATAAATATTAAAGTTCTATACTAAAGTATTATTAATGCTTTACTGAACGATAATGTAGAAATAACCTCAGTGATTCTAGGACTGCTTGCTTCTAGTTTAAATAGCACTAAGCTTTAAACAATACTTTAGCTTTTGTATCTGTTATATTTTTATTTTTTCACTCTTTTTTCTGGCTATTAACACTCTTGACTGAGGTTAGAGTACTTGCTTTTTACAGTTAATTCTACATTGTTTCATTGGGGGCTTGAAGATTATTAAGTAAACAGTAAAATTTCTGAGCATGGTGCTTAACAGTGGTGGACCAGGGAATTCAGTTCAGTAGTACTGCAGAAGACAACTAGAAAAAGATACATTTTTAAAAAAATCTGCTGAAGGAATTAAAGAGCTAATAAGGTAATGAAGAATCATGATAAAGAGATTCAAAGAGGTGGGGCCGCTGTCCCTGGAGCCTTGCCTTTTGTAGGTAGCAGGACAAAACTCGAAGACCAGGATTTGCCAGGTCTTCGCGGTTCTCCGTGTTTGAGTTTGGAATCTGCAGGTCTGCAGTCGGGGAGCAGGGGTGAACTGGAAGTCCTCACAGGAAGTGCTGCTAGCTCAGTCATCTGGGTAGCCCCCAAAATACCAGGCCCTGAGACTGGGTCAAGGCAACTCCATGTTGCTCTTGCTCACAGGGCCTGGCAGAGGTGAGAGAAGATGCCATTTGGAAAAAGATATTATCCTACGTTGTTTCTACAGTTTTTTCTCTAATACAGTGTTCAGCACAAAATCAGAAATAAACAGGCATATGAGGAAGATCATGAAAAGACCAACAGACAAAATGGCAGTAAAAATGAGCCCACAAGAGTTCCAGGTAATGGCATGTTTAAATAGAGTTTAAAATAACTTTCTCACTTTGATCACCAGATAAATGACTGAAAAATTGCCAGAGAACGACAAGCCATTTTAAAATCACAAAGCAAAACTAGAAAAGATTAAAATCGACATCTTGCAGCAAATGAAGAAAGTGGAAGGACTTGTGCTACCTGATTCTGAGACTTCCTCCAGGGCTGTAATTGTCAGGATGGTGTGGCATTGGCTTGAGGATAGATAAGTAGATCCATGGAGCACCATAGAGAGTCCAGAAATAGGTCTACACACATCATCCATTTTCTGTTTTTACAAGGATGTCAAAGCATTTCAAGTGGAGATAGGAGAATCTTCAGCAAATGATACTGAGACAACTGGGTAAACATTTGAAAAGATTTAACCTCAATCTCTGCTTTATACCATACGTAAAAATTAACTTAAGCTAGATTGTAGAGCTAGACAAGAAATTTAAAACTAGAAAATATTTAGACAAAACATAAGAGAATGTCTTTGTGACTGTGGGTTAAGCAATACCTTCTTGGAAATGACATAAAAAGCATGAATCATAAAGGAAAAAACCGTTAAGTTGGACTTCATCAATGTTAAAAACTTCTGCTTATTAAGAAAATGAAAAAGGCAAAACATGGTGTTGGAAAATATTTGCTACATATCTTATAATTGCTATAAAAATAGTAGAAGAGTATGTAGTTTACATATAAATTCTAAGTAATACAGGGGGAAACAAAATAATTTTAAAAATTTAATCCAAAAGAATACAAGGAAAATTAGCTTAAGCAGGATAAGTAGCAAGCACATGGTAAAATGGAGGATTTAAACCCAAATATGTCAGTAATCATGTAATCACATTAAATATAAGCGAACTAAATGCTGATGGATTTTAAAAAATCAACTCAACTACTGTGCATACCGTTTAAAATAGGTACAACTAAAACATAATATCACAGAACAATTAGAAAGTACAAAAGTTTATATTATGCAAATATTAACCAAAATAAGCTGGTGTGGCTATGTTAATATTAAAATAAGCCTTAAGGCATGAAGAATCCTATAGGTAATGAAGGATATTTTATAATGGTAAAAGGTTTATTTCATCAGGGAAGCAATAGCTTCCATGTTTTTATGCACTTATTGAATACTCCCAAAATATTTAAGACAAAAATAAACAACTACAAAGAGAGATTCAAATCCACAATCAGAGCTGGCCAGTTTGCTCAGTTGGTTAGAGCACAGCCTTGCAACACCAAGGTTGCAGGTTCGGATCCCTGAAGCAGCCAACTATCAAAAACGAAAAAGAGAGAGAGAGAAAGAAAATGTGTTTATTATTTTAAAAAAACAAAACCCAAATACACAGTCAAAGTGAGGAATTCTCACACATCTTAGTAACTGAGAGAATGAGCAGATGAGAACTCAGAAAGGAATAGAAAGTTTGGACAGCACAGCAAAAGGCCTTGTGGGCATATTTAGAACATTGCCTTTGATATTGAAGAATACATATTCTTTCCAAAAAAAAATTGACCATAAACTGGGCCATAAAGTGAGCTGTAAGCTGCAACAAATTTCAAAGGATTGAAATGATACAGAGTATGTTTTTGGATCACAATACAGATGTTCCTTGACTTAACAATGTGGTTATGTCCCACTAAACCCATTGTAAGTTGAAAATATTGCAAGTTGAAAATGCATTTAATACCCCAATAAACCTATTGTGTAAAGTTGAAAAATTGTAAGTCAAACCACTGTAGGTCTAGGTGCTCCTCAACTCACAGTGGGGTTACGTCTCGGGAAACCCATCATGGGGCCGGCCCGGTGGCGCACTGCTACAGTGCGCTGCTTGGGAAGCGCGGCAGCGCTCCCGCCGAGGGTTCGGATCCCACATACAGACCGGTTCCCGCTCACTGGCTGAGCGAAGTGCGGGGGCAACACCGAGGGTTGCGATCCCATTGCCGGTCACGAAAAAAAAGACAAAAAAAAAAAAAAGGAAACCCATCATAAGGTCGAAAATTCGAAAGTTGGGGACTGTCTGTACAGTTAAACTAGGAATGTAACAAAAAGATAACAAGACTGGCTGCAATGTGTGTGGATGTCGCACACCTCTGTATGAGCCTTGGGTTCAAAGGAAGTAATGATGGAAATTAGGAAATATTTTTAATTGAGTGATGAGGAAAAAAATAATTCATATGAAAACTTGTAGGATTCAGCCTCCTGAGTTCGTAGTTAGGAAGAAGAAAGGCTGAAAGTCAGTGGAGCATTCATCACAGGAAGTAGGAAAGAGCAGGAAATTAAATTTGAAGAATGTACAAGGAAGGAATTAATTTTTCTAAATAAACAGTCATTTAATAGAAATAACAAATAGAAAAGAAGTTGTCTGTAGAAAGGATCAGTAAAGGCAGAAGCTTGTTATGGTATTTGAAAAGACTTATAAACATAGTATATAGCAAATAACCATTATAGATGATAAGTAGGAAGTCACGACAGGTCCTACAGACATTAAAAAATAAGTCCGTGATGAACAACTTTATGCCAATAGATTTGACAGCCTACGTGAAATATAGAAATTCTTTTAAAAATTCAACTTACTAAAACTGTCACAATGAAGAAATAGAAAATTTTAATAGTTCTGTAATGCTTAGAAATTTGAACTTATAATTTAAAATTTTCTCAAGGAGAAAACTGGTTGGGATAGCCGCAGTGGCACATCCTACCAAACTTTTAATTAAAACTAATAATAATAAAAAAAAAGTCAATCTTAAACCGCCTCTCTCAGAGAATACTAAAGAAAGAAAGATTTCCCAAGTTGTTTAGAGACTCCACAACCGGAATAACAAAACCTAAGAAGGACATTTTGAGAATTGAAAATTATAAGCCGCTCTCAATTGTGAGAACCAGAGGGTGTAAGACGAACATGAGATGCAAAAGTTCTAAGCATGCTAGCCAAAAACACAAATCAACAGCCGGAAAACCAAAATAATACATGGTGACAAGATTTGTTACAGTCCAGGAGTGCAAGATTTGTTTAACATTATAAAGTCAATCAGTGTAATTTACTACATGAAAAACAGAAAGAAAAAAACATCTCATGCATTGTTAAAATTCAACATCCATTCATGATTTAAAAAATAAACTCATAAAATACTAAGAATGAAAGGGACAGTCCGTAGTCTGAACCCTCTCGTCCCCAAAATCCTACAGCAAATATTATACTTACTGGAGTTGTAAGCCACTTTCCCTTTGAGATGGGGAATAAGACCTGAATGCCGACTTCTGTTCAGTGTTGAACAGCAGATACAGCTAGTTCAATACGCAGAGAAAATGTTAAAATCAGAAGTGAGGTTGGTCAGGCCACAGGATCCGGGGTCAGCAAACAAACATCTGTTATGTTCCAGAACACAAAATGCAGCCGTGCAGCAAAACAAAGCAAACTTAAAAATCACGTCATTTTCAGTGCCGTCCAAAATTCAAAATACCTAGGATAAATCTAATCAAATATGTGTGATACCCCGAAGACAAAGCAAGAGCTCACTGAGAGATGGGACAGAAGACCTGAATAAGTGGAGAAATACACCTTATTCATAGGTTGGAACACTCAGTGTTTTATCCCTAAGTTTATCTACACATTTAATGTGATCTCATCAAGAAGCCCAGTACCCAGTGGATGTATGTATGTGTAACTCAGGCTGATTTGAAGTGTATATGAAAATGCATAGTCAAGAATACCCAACAATTCTTGAAGAAAAAGAACGGGGAAGATTTGCTCTACCTGGTAGTGAGGACTCAAAGCTGTAGTGATAAGACTCATGGTATCGAGTGCAGAGCAGAGAAGTAGACCCATGGGACAGAAAGCAGAGCTCAGAGACAAACGGGCGTATGCACGTACCTTTGCCTTACTACAGAGGCAGCACATAGGAGGCGTGGAGAAAAGACGACATCTCAGTAAGTGAGAGAAGCAGCTAGTTGTGCAGGAAAATACTGATCTTCCTCCTCCTCACACCATCTGTAAAAACCAAGTGGGTTATAGATCTTAATGTGAAAGGCTAAAGGCAAAAAAGCTCTAGAATATAATACAGGAAAGTGTCTTTATGACCGTGTGGCAGGATAAGTTCTAAAACATGTCACCAAAAATATCACTGTGAATGACAAAGTGTGCTATACTAAAAATAAGAACTTCTGGTCCCAAGCAAACGAAAAGGCAGTCCACGTTCTGGGTGAGAGAACTTTAGAAATACCCAACTGATGAAGGCTTGTAGCTCTGATATGTAAAGAATTTATAGAGAACAATAAGAAAAAGACTGCCTAAGGGAAAAATGGGCAAGGAATTTGGCCAAGCACTTCACAAAGGAGGATATACAAGTGGCCAATGAATGAGTAAGAAGATGCTCAGTCTCATTCATCAGGGAAGTGCATGTCAAAACTACAGTGGACTAGAACCCACGACAAAGCTCACCCATCCTCTGCACAGGCTGAGATAAGACCCAGGAGCAAATATTAGTCAAACTGTGGGTGGCAGGAACCCTCGTATACCGTTTGGACATTCGTTATTGAGTTGAAGGCGTACAGACTCCGTGAACGAGCCATTCCACGCTGGCTTGTGTGCCTGACATAAGGCACTCAGTGTGTGTGCTGGGACACACGGTGTTATCGTGTGTATGCTGCGGCACGTGTGCAGAAACGTGAACAGCATTATTTGTAGCCGGGAAACTAGAAACAGCAAAAGTGTTCACCATCAGTAGGATCTATAAAATATAAAATATGGATACAACGGAATTCTACATGGCAGAGAAAATGAACCAGCTGGAGCTACACATACCTATAGGAATGAACCTCGCAGACGTAGGTGAAAAAAGCTGGACACAGACTAATACACACGTCAGTACCCGCTTACATCGAGCCAAAAGCATGGTACGGGAGGGTGCGGGAGGGGACAGGCTGCAGTGGGGAAGGGCCCCACCCTCCAGGCGCCGCACCGGCCTCCGCTCACGTTCGCCTGCGGCAGTTGGTAGAGCTGCACGTGTGTCCTTGTTTGCATGAGTATTACGGACTTTTCCGGCTGCTCCATGGCCTTCTCCAGTTTTCTTATCTTAACTTTGTGCTACTTGGGTAAGTGTCGCTTTTATTCTGTTCCAAATTGGTTTTGTTTCACTATTCTAGATTTCTGCCTTCAAGACTGTTTAATATTTTTAAAGGCTGTTGAATTTTTTGAGGAAAATCCAATTTTAAAACAATACAGCTATGTTTTGTAATACTCGGATATTTTAGATCTAGCCTGCTGTAATGCGAAGACCCCTAAATACAGTAGCTTAAATAGTTTAGGTTTACTTTTTTCTCGCATGATAGTACAGAGGTAGCAGTGGTCCCAGCTGGCAGGCGCCTGCTGTAATGCGAAGACCCCTAAATACAGTAGCTTAAATAGTTTAGGTTTACTTTTTTCTTGCATGATAGTACAGAGGTAGCAGTGGTCCCAGCTGGCAGGCAACTCAGTTCTACAAGTCACGGAGAACATGGGGTCTTTCCACGTTGTCACCATGTCATCCTCAGGGCACTGGCTTCTCTCCTGGTCAGAGTTAGACCACGCCTTTATTCTAGCTCACAGGAAGAGGGCAAGTGATTTTGTTTTTGTTTTTCTCTTCTAATAGCAGCTATTGAGATATAATCCCATGCCATATCTTCACCCATTTGAAGTCTATGACCTAGTTGTTTAGTGTGTTCACAAAGCTGTTCCACATCACTGTAGTCTGTCTTAGACCATTTCGGATTCCTTTTAGCAAGAGAGAAGTCGCCCACTGTAACTCCACGTACATCTGTCACCTAAAAGTGAGCCTTGAGCCCACACCACGTTGCAGGGGAAGCTGGGAAGGGCAGTCTGCAGCTGGAGCTGGGAGCCTGACCACAGTTACCACAGCATGGGAGAAGGGGAGAGTCGCTGGGGAGGCATGTCTGCCACAAGTAGCAACCCCTGTCTCTGTCCTCACAGGTGTGATAGCACAGAAAAGCTAAAAGCTCTTCTGCCAAGATTGGAACAAGAGCTTAAGGACACAGCGAAGTTTAAAGATTTTTATCAGTTTACCTTTTCCTTTGCTAAGAATCCTGGGCAGAAAGGTTTAGGTGAGTATACAACCCAGATATGTAAGATACCTGATCTTGATATGGTAAGTGGACGTGATTGATCAACATAGTTTCAGTATAGTCAGCTTCAGTGTTACTGTCCCTCGGTTGGTTTCTTTTTTCTCCACTGATTTGCTCTCCATGTTGACTGGCTAGTTTGTAGTACTTTCTACCTGAAAGCCTCAACCAAAACCTGTCTCCTACCTTCTGGTTTTAAATATTTAAATTGTGAAGTATGAATTAATTTGTAAATATTCTATGTCCTCTCATGTTGGTATCTTATTGACTAATGGGTCAGGGTAGTATCAGTTAGTATCCATAGCCTGGATGTTTGCAACTTGCTTCCCTGTGTGGTGTTTACTAGCTGGGTCTGCTGTCTGGCTGATGGTTCTGTTAAGATTGGCTAGGTGACGTGGCTTCTGACCAGGTCTGGAGATTTAAAGTTCACCTACTTGAAATCTGCTCCGCTGTGCGTTGAATCACATCTCGGGACTCTTCTTCTTCTTTTTTTTTTTTTTTTCTTTTCTGACCAGTAAGGGGGTCGTACCCTCGGCATGGTGTCATCCGCACCACACTCAGCCAGTGAGCTCACCGGCCATCCCTATATAGGATCCAAACCCTCGGTCTCGGTGCTACCAGCACTGCACTCTCCCGAGTGAGCCACGGGCTTCTGCCGGTGCATGACTTTGCTGTAACATGACATGTTTTCCTACATATTGTATGGCTGGAAAATTTTGAACTTTAAGTATTAGGTTTGAGTTTTTGGTTTATTTTATTTGTTTTTGTTCATCTTGCACCTAAGCACTGTATTGTTTATTTCTGGTTTATCTCTTTCTAAAAATGAGTGCTCTGTTGCCTAGTGTACAGACCTTGTTTTGGGTCAGTGAAATCTCTTACAGGTTTTGAGTTGGGGAATTATATGGTCTTTTAAATAAGGATTAAACAGGTATACTATAAAGTATGTTTTGAAGAACTCCTGTAAATGAAAGCAATATTTTAAGATGACCAAACATTACTCAGGAAACTGGAAAATGCTTGAATACTCCATAGATAGAAAATCTACCACTCTCGTTTGGCTTTTCATCCCGATTCCACACACATCTGGCTGCAGGTGTGCTGTCTCCCTTCGGTGTCTCCCACGTCTTTCTCCTCTCCAATGGCTGTCATCAGGTCACCTGTGATGCCGGCCGGGGGGAGGCACGCCTTCTATCGTAGATTTGAGGAGCTAGGCAGCTTTCTTTCCTTAACAGTTTCCTACGTCATATGGTGGGGATTGCTTTCTTCTTTTTATTTTTCTTCAGCGTTGTGGGTTGCTTTGTTTTTATGTTGCTGCACTGGACTATGACAGGGCTCCTGTCGAGCTCCCTGTCCTGCTGGCTAGCACTCCTTTGAAATGGCTTTTCTTGCCCTGGTGCCACCTCACCTGCAGCTCAGAAGCTGAAAAAAGCCTGTGCTGTGAAGGCCGCGTTTGCTTGAACAGCTCCACTACAACCTCGGAAGGTGGCAGTGTTGTCGGTCCCCGTGGGAGCTGCGGGGAGCACGCGCAGGTGTGTTTCCTGGTCAGGAGGGCAGGCGAGCATCACAGATAGGCCGTCATTGAAAGGCAGCAGTGAGGAGCTTCCGCCACCACAGGGCTCGGCACCTTCTCGTGTGGTCACGATGACAGTGGCGAAGGGAGAGATGTCTGTGTCTGATACCCGTGTTTGTGCAGACACGTTTGGGGCGATGTCGCTGCAGGATCGGGTGCTCGGGCCAGGTGTGCAGGAGGGCAGGCCAAGGCGAGGCCACCAGCCGCCTAGTCTCGGGGGAAAGAGCGGACGGCAGGCTGCTGGCTCAGACCACGCTTCCCCTCGGAGACAGCTGTGCTCACACGGCTCAGGGAGCGCCCAAAGGAGCCCCTGCCCTGCGCTGCCTGCTGCGGCCTGGCGTCTGTCCCTGGGGACGAGCCCGCCCTGGACACTGGCGGGGAGGGGCCGTGAAGAGGCCACCAGTCATGTTGGTACAGGCCCTGGTAAAATTAGAATTTCAGGTGATTCTAGCCAAGTCAGTGCAGAGTGGAGAGTAGAACTTCACACGTCGTATTCTGGGAAAGTTAAAATGCTTGGTGTACTTAGAAAAACTCTCGGAGAGTGCAGCTTAGCTAATGACGTCTCGCATGGCGTCCCTACCTCTGCCACTCGGGTGTCCACACACATGTTCCGGTCTGGGATAGGCCGTGTGGTTCCTGCTCTAGGTGCTGCTTTCGTCCTTTCCTTATTGTCTGGAAAGAACAGTGGAAACTAGCATTTACTAAGCAGGCAAATGCCTTCATTAGGGGTTCTCGGCCAATCCACACGTAGTCTTATCCCCATTTTTTAAGCAGGGAAATCAAAGCTGAGGAATCGAATGGCTTATCTAAGGCATGCATTCAGGAGGTGAGAGCAGCATTGCAAACCCCTCAGAGACTCTTCCAGTCTCTGCAGTGAGACCTGAGCGTGTCTCGGGGCGCCCACCAGATCTCTCCCTGCATATCACACACCTCCCTGGAGGACGGCCCGGCGTCCAGGTTAAAGCTCGACAGAGCCAGGGACAGGGCAGTTCTGGGCTCTGCAGATGAGGGAGAGCAGAGCTGTGTGGGGACCCTGTCATTGTCAGTGTCACCCCAGCAGTGGAATTCTGAAGGTCAGGAGGAAGAGTCAGGCCTCCGTGGCCTTGCCGACCCCTGCCCTGGCCCAGCCTTCCTTCGTGGCGTTTTTCTCTGCATATCTCCAGCTGTTCTCAGGACTCTCAGGACCCACCTCTGACTCTGCCTCTGGGCTGGAGTGTTTGCCTGGTCTGCCTGCGCCTGGCCCTTTTATCTCGTTCAGAGCCATATGTCATCGTTTCATGCTAGGCCCATGTATTTTTTGAGTAAATAATATCACAATTTTGAAAGTCCTTAAACAGTTCGTTTTGGCACAGATAAGTCCATCTGAATTTTTAAAAGACACCAAACACTGACATGAAAACAGCGGTGATTTTCCTGTGTGCCGTGGCTTCGTCTGCCGCTCTCACAGAGGTGTTTGGGGCGGGTGCTGCGTCCTTCTCGACTGCCAGTCAAGGCAGCTGTGGAGTGGCAGGTAGACCTAGAAGGTGTGTGCTGCTCCCCCGAGAGGGTGGTCCATGCAGAGGGAAGAGGGACAGCTGGGGATGGCTGGGAAGAGCCAGGGGCCGAGGCTTGTCCTGGGCCCTTCTGGGGTAACTTTCCACGTTAGCTCCTCTATCAAGGCACTTGGGCTACTAGCTGCTGCTTGGTAGAATGTTGTAAGTGGTGTTGTATGTTTTGATTTGTTCGGAAAAATTTGTAAATGTTATGAGCTCTGTGACAGCTCGTAGGGAGGCCAGTCAGATGACGCTGTTGTGAATGTTCAGCTGTGTGACCGAAGTAGAGAGGCTGGGTGGCTTGTTCACGTGGCAGTATGAGAAGCACGTGATCATGCCACGTCACTCAGGCTGTCACTAACTGGCAGCTGAACATAGAGGCCAGGTGCTACTGGCCTGTCGTGGGCAGGAGGGTCCTGGTGTCTTAGCTATGGGGACATTAGCTGCTGCACCCAGTGCCTGGGTCCACTGCTTAACTAGTTAGGTTAACTAGTTAGGGGCTGCAGACGGATGGTCTTCCACCCTTTTCTTTTCATTTATCTGTTGGAATGATCTTATAAAGGCGTGCTTTCCATCTCCCGGTGTTGTTCTCCAGAGTTGCTGTCCTTTGAGAAGGGCAGGACAGACACTGGGTTCTGGCCGCTGTGTCCCGGTTCTCGGGAGTATGCTTTTTCCGGGCTTCCGTCGAAGGTGACCAGTGAATGTCTGTTTCTTCACATCCCTGTGAACTCGTGGGTTTACGCACTGGGAGGCAGGTCGTGTCTTCCTTGAGGCTCGGGTGGGCCAGTGGGGGCCAGTGGGGCCTCTCCGGGTCAGCGCGGGCCCTTCTGGCGCGGTGCCGGTGCTGCTGCCGCTGCCGCCGTCTGCAGGGCAGGCTGTTCTGGGCTCGTGCCGCACACTCTGCCCAGACCCAGGCTCCCTCCTTCCTCCGGGAAGACCTGGCTTCTGTTAGTGGAAAATGGCCTCTTGAGACTGTACTCTGGTCACTGGCAATGCTCGTTCATACTGAGTGGTGATCGTTTCTGGGCTTCTTCAGTAAGCAGCGCTTCATGCTGCTGCTCTTCATTCCAGTTGTTGGTGGTGGTTGCTGTTTTACTTAAGTTTGTCTGTGTTTGTCCTTCTACCTGGCCCTCCAGGGCAGAGGTGACAGCAGAATCAGTGTGTCATGTCATTATTTGCCATATCCCACGTTGCACATACCACAGCCTCAGAATTATGATGCTAACTCTGTCTCCACCGATATCATTACTGTGGATAGTAAAAAAACCCCAAAAAACCAAAAACACGTTCTTGCCCCATTTTCAGAAAGTAGCTTGAGCGAATCTTCACTGTGAGCACGCGGCCCGCGCTCCGCTTCCGCCTGTCACAGGCTTCTCTGTCCCACAGGCAGCTGTCGCAGGCTTCTCGGTCCCACAGGCAGCTGGCACCCGGTGCGGGCCCAAACCCATTCTCCGGTTTTTCTCAGTTTTCTTTCTTTGCGTATCTTACTGTGTTGCTCCATTTTCTTTGGGCATAGAGCATTGTTGTTGAATAGTCTGATGATAATCTAGTTTTCTGTACCTTGTAAGTGACTGCTGTCTTTGCCCAGATGCCCAAAGCATAGTTTTCCTTTCTCTTTAAAGCCCAGTAATTTTACTAAGATGTCCGGGTGTTGTTCATTCAGTCAGCGCTCTCAGATATGCTGTGTGCGCTTTCAGTAAGTAGTTCTTAATCTTTTTTTTTTTTCCTTTTTGTCTTTTTTCGTGACCGGCAACGGATCGCAACCCTCAGTGTCGTGCCTGTACCGGACCGGGACCGGCAACGGGATCGCAACCCTCGGTGCTGCGCCTGCACCTCGCCCAGCCAGTGAGCGGCCAGTCTGTACGTGGGATCCGAACCCT